AGTTTGCCTTTACTTTAAGGCCCTCAGGCTTTAACAAACTTAGTGGATAGCTTAGTATCACCCTTTGATACTAAGCTATCCACCAAGCCCCAAAAGAGAACTGTCTCGTGTCCTACCAATACACACAGTGATGAGGAAGGCTTGATTTTAAAGCAAATGGTCTACGTGTCTGTTTTTATGCTCGTACCATGCTGTTCTGATTACTATAGACTTGTAGTATTATCTGATGTCAGGAAGTGAGAGACCTCCAACTTTGTTCTTCCTTTTCAAGATTGCTGTCACTAGTTGGGGTCTTGTGTCTCCATACAAATTTTTGGATTTGCACCCTGTGTTCACTGCAGCATTGTTTACAATATCCAAGCTATGGAAGCAGCCCAAGTACCCATCAATAGGTTAGTGGATAAAAAAAGCTGTGGTACATTTATGCAATGGAACATTACTCAGCCTTAAAAAAAAAAAAAATGAAATCTTACCATTTGCAACAGTATGAATGGAGCTAGAAAGTATTACAATAAGTGAAAGAAGTCAGTCAGAGAAAGACAAATGCCATATGATTTAACTGATATGTGGAATCTAAAGAACAAAGTAAACAAACAAACAAAATAGAAATAGACTTACACACACAGAGAACAGACTCTTGGATGCGAAAGGGGAAAAGGTTGGGGGGGTTGGGTGAAAAAGGTGAAGGAATCAGAAGTGCTAACTGGTAGTTACAAAATATGCTGGGATATAAAATAAAGCACAGGGAATATAGTCAATAATGTTGTAATAACTATGTGTGGTGCCAGGTGTGTACTTTGCAAAGTATGTGACTGTCTAATTGCTATTCTGTATACCCGAAACTAATACAAAATAATGCTGAATGGCAACTGTAATTAAAAAATAAAATTTTTTAAAAAGCAAATGAATCTGTGAATTCAAACACTCACCACTGGAAAGAACATATATAAAGTACTTTAGTCAATGTCATCCTCTCTTCCTTGCTTTTGAAACTCCACATCATTTTACCTGGACTTTCTAAGTACATTCTAGCTTTTACAGAATATATTACATTCTAACTTTATAGACTTATTTATGTATATGGGCCACCTCCCTTCAAGATCATTGTTTCTTGACAGCAGAATCCACATCTAAGATACCTATTTTTCACACACAGCATAGAAAAGGCATAAAAATAACATAATAAATACTCATCTCCAGTTGAGTAAGCTCAGAACAGGTTAGCAAGTGTCTTAATATACAAACGTTCCCGGGAAACTGAGAGGTAAAGCAATGACTTCACGGTGCTGAATTAAAGACATTTTATACCAAGTTTTAAAATTTGAGGTGTTATACAATGTATGACTTTTAAAACCCTATATTAAATTTTAAAGGGATTTGAAAGAGAGAACATAATAAGGAAATTAAACCAGGATATAGAGATTAGTAGTTAGAGTTATGATAAATTGCTTCCCTGTCCCAAACACAAACACACACATGCACAAAGAAATAATTATGAAGCTGGGGAAATGTTTTTAAAAAAATCTCTACTCAAATATGAGAAGTTTAAAGCATTTTGTGTGTGTTTTTTTAAACTTATTCTTGAGTGTTTTACATTGATATGGTTGCAGTTAATCAGCCAAACTCTTTAGAACCAAACTCATTACCAAGGGGGTTTATACAGTATAGGAATCACAGTCAACTACCCAACCTATGTGTCCCTGCAAGAATAAGAAAATCAAGAGAATCCAAGAGAAATAAAAAGTCTTTCTACTCCTCAAGTTTCTAAATTATGGCTAACAGCAANGGTTTACACAGTATAGGAATCACAGTCAACTACCCAACCTATGTGTCCCTGCAAGAATAAGAAAATCAAGAGAATCCAAGAGTAATAAAAAGTCTTTCTACTCCTTCTCAAGTTTCTAAATTATGGCTAACAGCATCTACACCAAAATCAACAACTGCACAAACCTCTTGCTGGGGGTATATCCTCNAAATAAAAAGTCTTTCTACTCCTCAAGTTTCTAAATTATGGCTAACAGCAACTACACCAAAATCAACAACTGCACAAACCTCTTGCTGGGGGTATATCCTCTGCTTATATTATTTAAAGAAGAAACATGAAATAAAAGATGGTTTATATATACCATAAATAGGACAAGAAGAACATTGTTATAAACACAATGCCAAATTAGTGAGGTCTGAAATTCATAAGTGTTATGGATTGAACTGTGCCCTTCAAAAGAGATATATTGGTGTCCTAGCACCAAATACCTCAGAATGTGATCTTATGTGGAAATAGGGTCTTTACAGGTGTAATCAAGTTAAAATAAGGTCATGCAATATGATTAGAGTCCTAATAAAAAGGGGGAATTTGGGCATAGAGACAGGCACACACAGGGAGCAAACCATGTGAACATGAAGGTGGAAGAGGGTGACACACCGAGAAGCCAGCACACCACAGAGGCTAGGGGAGAGGCAGGGAACAGAGTCCCTTACAGAACCAACCCTCAGAAAGAACCAACTCCGCCAACACCTTGGTCTTACACTCTGGTCCCCAAAACTGTAAGAAAGATAAATTTCTTGTTTAAACCACCCACTTCATGGTACTTTCCTTCGGCAGCCTTAGCAAACTAATGCAATGGGGTTCATGGCAGATTCTGAACTTGGCCCATGGAAATCGACATCCGTAAAATGCTCTTAAACCAAAAATTAGTGAGATCTCTACAAATGCCAGGCAGCTTTAGTGCAAGATAATAATAGCTGCTCCTGGAGAAGATGCTAAGGACAGTGTTTAAAGATGGGGGCAGAGCTGCAGACATTTATGGGACAGCAGCGAGGAATCCTATCGAGGAACCTGCAACAGGGATCCCAACATTCAGCGACTCTTTAAACTACGTAGCACTTCAGGGGATGCATCAAACAAACGCAGCCCTCAGGTCTTGCTGAATGGCACGTAACTATTGTTCTTTGGCCTGACCTCGACACCTTAAAGCAAGCAAGCACATGCAGCCTCTCATCCGTTATAGGAGGCGAGTGGTCAATGGCTTTCATCTCCAGCTGGAGGAAATTAAATACTACATGTGACCAGCAGGCTTGAAACTGCTTGAGAAATGCTGACAAGATACATTTAAACCTGCTGGAGTGAGAAGTATTAACTGTCCAGAGCCATCCTTCTCAAAGACTGCAGGTACGTAAAAGGCAGTCCTCCTTTTATTCAGGCATAATAAATGAAGGATTTCTCAACCATCCCCAAGACTGTGCCATAAATCTTAAAGTTAAGCATTTAATAGAGTTATTAACTTACATTTGGAAATCAGCGGAGCACATCTTTTGTGGGAAGGACTTCCAAGTGATTGGTTTGTTTCCTTATAATGAAATCGTATGTTTGCATCTGTTTGATTCATGATTAAACCGAGTGAGAGTATATGTGAGAACCATCTGGAATATTCAACAAGGACGAACTCTTCCCAAGGAAGGCCTTACACTGCGGAAGCGGTGTAGTGCAATGGTTAGGAAAATAATGCCTTCAAACCAGATAGATACGGGCCAAAACCAGTATGGCCACGAACCACCTGTATGGATTTGGACGAGCAGCTGAAACTCTCTAAGCACAAAGTGTCCTGGTCAAATGGAGACGACAGTAATAGGCCCTTATCTTACAGGGCATGGTGAGGAGTCAACGGGACAAAGCATATATCAGACTATATTTACCATAATTGCTTAACCCAGTGCAGTTACCTTCATGCTATTAACATGAGATGTATGAGTACTTTTTATACAGCAGAGTACTATTTTTCTTTAGGAAATAATTTAAAATTTGGGACACGACCCCTACTGAAATTAGCTCAACCACCCAGACCATTATCGCGACATTCCGCAACGCTCAAGCAGCACCGCTAGGTCATTAGCGGCCCTTTAGATTTTGTTTTGGTTTTTACTCCCCATCATTCTTATTTTTCATTCAAATAAACAAAGACCTTTTTTCAAATATCTAAGATCTCAAAATTTATACTAGTATTTTTTATGTACAGCATTGCTGCGCTTCCTTACTTACATATCTTCTTTTATAAGGAATATTCCTTCACCTTCTTAACTCAAAAATCATGCACAAAGGTATAAGAACACATTCCATAGAAGCCAAAAACCACCTAAATCAGCATACAATCAACATTTCCAGTTATGTGTTTAAAATGATAGTTCAGATCATTTTCTTCTATATAATTTAGCTTAAAATTTCCTAATTTTTATAATGACTTCAAAGGAAACAAAAACAGGAATAATTTAGAAAATAGTTTTTTAATAGTATTTGGTTATGTGATTAAGGTAAGACGAGGCTTGTGTCCCCTGCACTTATTTCTGAAATATGATTAAGTTTTCTATGAGTTACATGGCACTGAATACAGTAACTCTGTGCTCCTAATCAATCAGAGACAGGGAGGAAGTCTATCAGAAACATGCAGGGGGTGAGCTGTTCAGGACCTAAATCTCTGCCCTGACCTGGGGGAAGAAAACAAATGGGGAAGAGTTGTTGCTCTTTGTGAAAATATGTGCAGGGTGATGCCAAAGGAGACAGGTAGGGATAAAAAAGAGTATGCCGTGTTTTTTATTAAGTAATTTCTGAAAGATGAGTGAAAACTCATTTAAAAAGACATCGAGAATGGCCAATACATTTGGCTTTGTCAGCCACTACTCTAATTCTTAAGCAAAAGCTAAATCTCCATGATAAATTATTCATATCATTCACCCAGAAATGAATTCTCACCAGAGGCTTCCAACTCCAATGAGAGAAAGAGAAGCAAAGATGGGGGGAGGGGTGGGACAGAAAAGACAAACTAGACAAGTCTGCAAAACTGTTAGCAGGAAAAACCAATTCTATTCACTTTTACACTTGTTAAAAAAGAAATCTGAGGGAGGAAATTTATTATATATTACATGAAAATTATTTAAATATACTGTGACTTAGTTTTAAGAGAGCAGGTACATTTCACATTGAAACATTAAAAAACTAATGAACTTACTTGCTTTTCCCTTTGTATACTGTAGCATAAGATCCTTCCCCTAGTTTTTCCAGTTTTTCATATGAGTCAGCTTTTCCAAATTTGGGACTTGTCGGCTAAAAATGGAGCAGAGGGTAAACAAAACAGACTGTATCAAACTAATTAACAATAAATAACCCAACTCTGCTAAAAATATACAAATCCTCTGTCACTTTTTAAATAACATTTTTATGATATAAGAATGCTTATTTTTAAAAACAACAGATATTTGGGGTACAAAATTCTGAATATACAAAGAGTACAGAAGTTTAGATTAACCCATAATCTAGCCATTAAGAGGGAATCACCATAAATATTTTGATACCTCTTCTTCCAATGCTATCTGTATACAGAAGACTGCTTTTTTACATAAATGGGATTACACTATACATACTATCTTGTAACCTGCTTTTTTCCCCACTCAAAATATTGTAACTATTTTCTATGTCATCATATAATCTTCTAAAGTAGGGGCTGGCAAATCCCATCCACCACCTGTTTTCATATGTCCCATAAGTTTAGAAAAGTCTTTAGATATTTTTAAAGGGGGGGATCAAAACAATTCATAGCACGTGAAAATTATGTGAAAATCAAATTTTAGTGTACATAAAGTGTATTGGAACACAGTTACTCATTCATTTAGATATTACGTTATGACTTTCAAGCTAAAACAGAGTTGTAGTTGCAACAGAGATCACATGGCCAACAAAGCTAAAAATAGTTATTATCTGAACCCTGTTATAAATCATGACTGTACAAAATTTAGTCATATAAAGGTATTCCTCCAATACCTGACGATACAAACAGATAATCAAAGACAAATCAAAGATCATTCAGATATCACCAATTAATAGAAAAGGAACTCTTTTATGTCTACAAAAACCAATCCTTTAGATTTAGCTGCAACAAAATAACTCTTCCTTAAGAAATGGTATGTATCCCCCATCATGACCATAAAAGTGCTAAGAGAGAGAGCTCATTACTTGCTGTGCTCAACTTCCACCCCAACTTCACCAGAGAGCACTGTCCTCCATGGAAGCTAATTACATATTATTTTAACATCGCTATAAAAGGGCAATACCAAAACATATTAGCAAATGATAATTATATGAGGAATTAAAAGCATCTTAAAGGGATTATCTGATCTAGTTATAAGTACATATATAATTGATAACAAGTTGCTAATGATTGTGGTGCTTTGTAAGTAACCAACAGTAGAAGTTCAGGGAAATAGCTTCCTCCAAAAAGTTTACAGAACACTATTCCTGAGCATATACTCTTGCACCACTTACAAAACAACACAGCATCCTGACAATGAATCTGACTCCCGCCATTTATAAGGATTCTGTGGCAAGTTGAGCACATGCCTCTTACCTCCTTGCCATCTGAAATGTCATGCAGTGACTGAAAAGATAATCAGAAACAGGAATTGGGAAACAGAAAAGAGTACCAATATCTAATCAGAAATTCTGAGGACTTCTGAAAGATAGAAGTAATCAGGATCATAACTTTGGAGAAAAAAATTGGGGGAACTTAAAGCCCCAACATGTAGGCAAAGACTATTACAATTAAAAGAAGCAGGAGCTTCTAAGTAAATATCACACACAGCTGGGCATGCAGCGTCACCTCAAGCAAACTACAGGGACATTTGCACAGAAGACACAGCTGAGAATGTGGGTATCCAGGCTAGAGGGGCAGAGCAAGAAGAGAAGCAGCCACTACCTAGAGAAAACAGGACATGCCCACATCCCCAAGCTGTAACTCCTGCCTCTCTCGTACAATTACTGGAGACAGTTTACACAAGACAGAATAAGCCGACAGCAATTCTCCAACACAAAAATGAGTGTCAAAAATCACAAATCATTTCAGAAAAATCAATAAGCGTAAAATTTAATGGGAAGTAAATTCAAACCCTGGTAAGAGAGTTGACATTGCAAAGGTAAAAATAACTTTGAATAAAAATAACAGTATCTTCAGAGAGATTAAAGATTAAATATTTAATTAGTAAAATAAAACATTTAATGGGCAGTGAATAAAAGAATGGACATAGGTGAAAAAGTACTAAGTTCAATGTTTGAACAGAATTTTCCCAGAAAACTCTGAGGTGAGGTTGCATCTTAACAGAAAAATTATCCAATAAGCATAATATTTTTATAGACAACACTGGCTGAAGAAAGACAATTCAGCAATATTTTCAAAATAAAAAGGGAAATGACTTTGAATCATGAATACTATACTCAAAATAGTTACTCAAATGGGATGGAAAAGCTGCAATCTTACCACCATCAAAAAAAAATCTAGGTATAAAATTCTATATTATCTCAATATAAGATGAAGTTGGAGTGATGGAAGAACTGCAGGAAAGCAAGAAACAGTAGGATAGGAGAAATAAAGCATATTGAGATTCGCTGGATTGACTGCAGATACTGATTAACTACAAATGTATGAGTTTTAATTCTTAAAAGGTAACCCCTAGAATAATTTAAATAAGATACAAATTCCAAACAAATCTGGGGGGAAAGGGCTGAAAGAAACAATTGCAAGGAAGAAGGGCGAAGAGGGTAAAAAGTAGGAGGCTAGAGGAGGCGGGGTACTCAGTAGGAAAGCATGTTAAGTGAAAAATCATAAAATAAGACGAAAATCCAAACATATCAAAAATTACAATAAACATAAATGAACAAACTTCCTCTATTATTAGAAAGTTCTCAGACTAAAAAAACAAAGATAACCTAGCAATATGCTATTGAGAAGAGACAAAATTAAAGCAAGTGAGTAAACCTGAAAATAAAGGAGTACAGGAAAAATACAGCAAAAGTAAGTATTTTTGCAAAATCACGCACTATCGCAATACTGATGGCAGACAAGACAGACTATGGGAAACAAATGAATTAAATTAGTATATCTCATTAAAATTAACATTAATATCCACCAAGAAATTTAATCATCACAAACTACTTTGAGCCAAATAACACAGTTTTGAAATGTATGAAACAACTGCTAATAGCAATAAAATGAGAAATTGTCAAACCCATGGTGATAGTGGGAGACATACATCGCTCATTACATCAACAAAGCAAGCAGACAACTAATAAGTAAGAGATATGTGGGCTTGCATATTAGAATTAATATTTTAATCTAATTCACATATTGATACTTTTTATTTTAAGTACACATTTAACATTCACAAAAAATGACCACAGATTAGGCCACAAAGAAAATCTCAATATTCAAAATCACAGAAACATTCCAAGCTACTTTTTCTGAACTCAGTGTAATAAATTAGAAATAAAGAATAAAAGAAAAACTAAATAGTTTAGTCATGCAGGCCAAAAAGAAAATCAAAACAGAAAACTCATAAATAAATATGTGGCAGTAAGGACATGACATTTTAAGACCCATGGGATGCAGACAAATCAATACTTGAATTAAAATGTAAATACACATGCACATACTGGAAAAGAAGAACGCCTGAGAGTAATATGAGTTAGACATTTAACTGCAGCCTAGAAAAAGAACAACACATATATAGTAGGAAAGGATTCATAAAGACAATAGCCTATTCTTTTCTTCAAGAAACTTGTGAAGTGCAAACCATGTGTTGAGTTGGACCAAGTAAAACTTAGCGGGAAATTACATTCAAAATCACCTGACAAGTCCTGTGTGGGTTATGTTCTCATGCATTTTTCATCACAGGGAAACAGCTTGCGAATGTCGCACTTTAGCATCACCCTCCTGAGCCCAAGTTTTAAATAGAAATTTAAAAACCTACATTAAACTTCAGTGTAAAATGATCTTCAATGGGGAAAATATTGTGTTCACAGTTCCACTCTAAATTATTTAAAATCAGAATGAGAAGTCTGTATGTTTGCTTTTGCGCTCCTTTAAGAATAAATTCAATCTAAGTTGAAGTAAAAAGCAGCAGCAGACAATCTCCTCTTTGCTCATATTAGGAGGTAAACTGCTAATGCGTATTTAGAGCAAGAGCTAGACATGGTCCCACAAAATTTGTAAGAGGATATTTTCTCTGCCGGGAAGGCACAAATAATTTTCTAAAAATTAATCACTCTTCATAAACTGTCTTATATCAGAACTGATGTAATCATTCTGAGACACAGACCATACTACACTTACAACCTGAAGAAATTAAATTGAGGACATTAGAAAAACAAGGGGAGTATTTTTTAAAACATACCCCATTTATCCGCAAGAAAAATCAAGTAAGAGAAAATGCTAATGGCACAAAGTAGTCTATTTATCTAATTAAATGGATGTGGATGCATTAACTGCCATGGTTAAAATATATTCCATGAACACTGTGATGGCAGAAAATTAATATTTCCCCACCTGTGGTGGTCATACAATCAATGTTATTTGCCCTGTGAAACCGGTATGTAGACATTATGGAAATACACTGTAACTTACAGATCAATCACACTAGCTCCACAGCACAAACTGAATACATATAATACCTCCCTGAAAGTTGTTCTAGTCTCCAAGAGAATGGGCCTATGGACTAGGCCATGTCTATGAGATAGTCTGAACTTTAAGAGTTAGATTCTCCTATTTTAAGTACGCAAAAATGTTCTGACCTGTAATAACTATGTAAATAAATAAGGAATCTAAGTGCTAAGTCTTTAAAGAAGCCAATAATAAAACCAGTCCTGTCAAATGAACAAAACTAAGAATAATTCAGAAGGAGAGGTCCTCTTTAGTTTAATAATTAAAGTTCAAGCCTTTGGTTTGCCTTTTTTTCCCTTGCAAATTTATCAAAGCATCACATTTAAATAAAGATGCTACATCAAACCAGTATGCTGTCAACTCCAAACATCATCTTTGATGTCATGTGCATGCATGGGTGGGAAATGGCTTCATGGGGCACCTATTCCCTGCGTATCGCTTCCCTCCTTAGAGTGCAGGCTTAAGATAGCACTTTAGGGAATTGGAACTGCAGAGGGCTAATCAGCAATAACTAGTGGACACTAACTGCACAGAGACGTGGAATTTAATGAGATAATGTTTATACTTTTTTTTAACAGAATAAAGGTACAGAGAATTGTCAATTGTCTGGACCAGTGGTGGGGGACATTGGCATGGATAATGAAAAAGTGAAGATAATATTTCATCTGAACGGTGTTTGGACCCTGACCTTGTTAGCTCTAGTTCATTGTGCAATCAACAAAAACTAGCTAACATCGTATGTTTAGTATGAGCCAGGCTTCAGCTAATCACTTTAAATACATTATCCAAATTTAATCCCTGTACCACCACCCTGGGGTTGGTTCTACTAGTATCGCCATTTGAACAAGAAGAATGTAAAGACTGGAGAAATCAAGTAACTCATTCAAGATCCTACAGCTAATGGCAGAGCAAGAATTCAAACCAGGTTCACTGGAATCAAAAACAGATTTTTTTTACCACCACTACATTGGTGGAATCTACATGTAGACCTAACTCCTACCCAAAAGTAGGAGATATTAAATTATGATACAGTCCATCATCTATTGAAACCCTATCCTAAAAACAGGGATGGGTTCTGAACTGTATTTATACTTATAAACTGCATGAGTAACACCTCTGTGTTCACTGTAATGATACCATGATATGGCTATAAGAATTCATACTGAATTCATTGAAATAGATTGTAACCTTTATGCATAACGCCTTGATTAAGATAGTTGATGGGGAAAACCACGGGTAAGAACCACCACTCTATTACATTATATTATAATTGAGAGAGTGGGTATGAGGATAAGATGGGAAGGATTCCACCAGAACTGTGACCTCAGTCAACAACCAGGATTTGAAGCGAGAGCCGCCTTGGCTAATTTTTCTTCTGCCTTAGATCTCCAGAACAGGCTCTATCATCCCATTAAACAGAGTCACACTAAGGTAACCCATACTTGATGAGTAACTTGATAACAAAATAGATCTAAACGCTGGACAGAGAGATACACCCAATCCCCATGCGTGGTGACAACCTGACAAGGGGGCCTGGTTCTCTCTGGGAACGGTCTAGCCCCACAAGCAGAAGGCAATACCAAGATGAGACCCCCTAAGGATGACCATCTGAGAACTGAAGTGCAACTCTTGCTTTCAAGTTTGCACCCTCCCCCTCCCCTCTCTAGACTGGGCCTGCCTAGCATGGGATGTACATTGGGGGGG